AATAGATCAAAACATGAAAATTTATGAGTTTTTATGAACTTTTTCCAGAAAGCTAAAAATCGAATTTAGACATTTTAGCCTTAAAAACTTGTGTAAAATGCAAAAWRGTGTGAATCAAAGTTGTTTGAAATACAAAACCGAAACTAGCGATACAAATTTTTATCACTAACACTTAAAATTTGAACAAATTTGGCACAAAAAACCAATCCGGTCAAAAAAAAATATCAAGAACAGTGAAGAATCATATTGAAAAAATCTTAAAAATTCGTGCAAATCTTATTTGACCAAAAAAAATGTCTTTTGATAGTCTTAAAACTCTCTTAATAATTTTGTATCTTTGATCTCCCTTAACCATTCAGCGCTCTAATTCTACTCTTAACAATTAACAAACAATTATATTTAATTTTGCATTGTATAATAAGAGTTTTTTAATCATTATGATTGTTTAATCATTATGCATTAAACCATCCAGCAACTGTCAAATAACCTCTTAGACTTGTTGAGATAAGATAAATAATGAATACTTATCATAAAAAATGTAAAATTAACTTATTATTTTTAGTTTTAATTTGTTTATTATTTAGTTTTTATCTTTTAAATTATGATTACTTTGTGTGAAGCAATTACTTATATGAATACTAGAATGTTACTCGCGTAATGAAGCAAAATACATCTCGATCTTAATGTTTCGTTTTATTTTGTCTCATGTCGATGTTATAATACGTTTTTTATAGAGAACGATAATGTTTTTATTTTTGAATAAAATATAAATTTGAAAAAAAAAACAAAGTATTAAAATAAATATTTAAAATTCTTTGGTGTAATTTCTTTAATTCAAAATTTTATTATAATTTAATTTAGATTTAATAACAAAGTAATTTATTTTTTATTTAATAATATAATTTTTAATAGGACTGATAATTAAGTATTTTGTTAGAGCACAATGATTATCCTAATTATATTTTAGATTTTTTATATTTTAAATGAAATATTTTTCTTGTTATTGATTATGTTTATCGGTAATTAGTTACACAAATTCGAACACAGAGCTTTAATAAATTGTACTTATGCATAACTTATTTGTAGTCGTGAATTTTAAGTAATATGCATCAATAAACAATACTTCATGTATAAAAAAAAATTAAAATTTTTTGTCCAATGTTTTATAATATAGTATGTAATTAAAATAACTATTTAAAAGTTCATATTTTTTATATGATTGCTTTAATTTAAATTTTTATTATAATTTAATTTAAGTTTAGTAACAAAGTAATTTATTTTNCACAATGATTATCCTAATTATATTTTAAATTTTTTATATTTAAAATAAAATATTTATCTTGTATTTGATTATATTTTATCTGCAGTTAAATAAAGCTTTAATAAATTATATTTATACATAATTTACTTTCACATACATAACACATGCATCCTAGTGTAAAGTTCTATAACACTCACATAGTTGTAGTTGATATTGACAAGAGGGCCAAAGGGGTTATTTACAAATTGTCTCGTTGTGAATAAATGGGATTTGACATGTCTTTGTACGATTCAAAAAGTCCAGTGAAAAATTAGCCGTATATCCTAAAATCATAATATTCATGTTGGTTCACCCGGTCTTTAGAAAGAAAATAGGTCCGATTAATAATTTAAAGCATCGGGTCAAGTCTTTATTTTATTTATTCATTGTTTTGTTATAAATTATAACATTAAATAAAATAACATAATATTGTTAAAATAATTCCATAAAATAATAGTATATTAAGTTGATAAATTCACATGTTTAAATACATACAATATAAAATAAATATACAAAGTAATAGTGTTATATTCGGTTTTAAATGGGTTAATGTTCAACATTTGTTTTGTTGGTTTATTTATTATTTTTTCTTTATCGTTGTTTTTCTTATGAATTATGTCATTTAAATACTCTTTATGTTGCATCAACTCGTTGCTATTGCAATCGTCTTCTATACAGAAGCAATCCACCCTCCACCGTTCACCTTTCAAAACCCATATATGAAATATATGAAGAAGTGATGAAAATCCAAAAAAACCCCATAAAACCTGAAATCAAAATCAATGAATAAATGTGGAATGAACCAGAAAAACCGAAGGTGTAAACAATGGAAAGGAGAAGAAGAAAATAAGTATGTGTACCATGAGCAATATGCGTAACAAAGAGGGGTCACCGTGGTGATGCATCAATGACGGTGCTGATAAGGGGAGGGGGTTGGGGTCACCACATGACGATGAAAGGAGTGAACGGGGGTTACACTTGTATAAAATTATATATTATCAATAATATAATATAATATATCATTTTTAAAGGTAAATTAAGAAGATATGATTAAAAGACGAGAATACCACACACCCAGGGGTAATTTAACAATGATACGATAAGAGACCACCTCCAATCTCCATGGCAAAAAACCAAACTATAATAACCATTTCCATCTATATTTATACTACCTTAAAAGTCTTAAAAACAACTCATAATACATTAAATACTACTACTTTATGCGTTTAGTCTTAAAATCTCATAATCTACAATTAAAATAACATATAATACAAGTTAACAATGCACATTATTATTATTTTTTTTCAGGTTCCCAACATACTTTTGACATATTTCACTAATGTCTTCACCATCTCATACCTCTATGTCTTCTCCCCATCTCCCAAGGTGAGATTCAAACTCATATTCACCATGAGTTATTAAAAGTTCTTTTTTTCATATCTCATTCAATTTCTCTAGAACTTTCGGTCTCGCTCTCGATCTCTTGATTATTTGCTCTTGGTGTAAATCGAACACATTTGTGGAATCTTTTAAATATGTTGGATTTTAAATATATTGGATTTTAAATTGTTATACAAATTTTCTCATCGATAGACTGTAATTGAAATCATAACTCTTATTTATTCAAATTGTATTAATTTGTAAAAATCAAATGTAACTTATATCATCGTTAAATTTTCTATAATAAAACTAATAAAACTTTAAAATCGTTATAATTCATAGCTCTCGTTACAATGCAAAGATAGACAACTAGACGTTTGTTGAAGTTTAAGGGTAATTTTTGGGGAAGGACATATTGGTAATTGTTAATAAACAGAACGAAAAGAAGAAAAGAAAAAAGAAAAACGTTTTCCACCAAACCCCTACAAAATACTGGTCGGAGAAACCGATAACTCGGCCTACGGCTCTTCTACAAGGTATACAGATATTCCTTGCGAAGCTCAAGGCAACCACCCCGGCTCCAGAAATGAAGGCGTCTTTCAAGGCAAAGTACGACGCCGACAAGGCCACCGCCGCCTCCGCCGTCACCCTCGCCTTTAACGCCGGCGATGTCAAACTCCGTGCTTCCATGACTGACGCTACTGTGGTCAACGGCCCTAGCTTAAACGGTCTAGCTCTAGCCGTGGAGAAACCTGGATCCTTCACCATCGATTACAATGTCCCGAAAAAGGTACTTCAAGGTTTCATACATATAAATACATAGATATATGTTCTTAAATTAGAAAACATATATGTATGGTTATACAAATTTGTATCTGCTGTAAAATTGTTTATATATTTGTGGTTTTTACTATTATTTGGAGTTTGTAGGTCAATCTGTGAATTCAGTCGGATATGTATATGTTACACGTGGATGTTCTGATTTTTTGATTCGTGTTGTATTGTTGATTCATTGATTTTAGGTCTTTGTTCCATGAACAAGTTAGGTCACGTATGTATAAATTTGCATGTTCATAAGCCAGCTATACAGAAAATTACATGTGTCTCTGTATATATACAGACATCATTTATGTGTCCTGTAATTATTTCGGAATTGCGTTTTGGTGAGACAAAAGGGCTTCAGGATTTTGTTTACAAATACAATCAAGCAACTTATATGGAAGGCTGTATACACGCTCCCAAAAGTATATGTTTGTGTATATGAGCATGTGCTGTTTTTTCTGCTTCAAGTGTTTGTGTTTAGTGGTTTCAGTTGATTCTATTGGATGTATATGAGGTACTGTCGACCCAAGATGCCATTTTTATCAAAAGACATATAGGCTGAACATACATGCTTCATTGTAGATATATACTGTGTTAGTAATACTGTTATGTTTTTGATGTTCCTGAATTAGATTTTGTGCATTTTGTTGGCACTACAGGACTTCAGATTTATGTTCATGAACACAATTAGAATTTCAGACAAACCATTAAACATGGTGTACAGTCACAGTAGGGGAGATCAACGGACTGTGCTTGATGGAACACTAGTGATTGATTCAGCCAACAAGGTATCGGCTAATCACGTGCTTGGTTCTGGGAATTGCAAGTTGAAGTACACTTATGTCCATGGAGGAGTGACTACATTTGAGCCCAGCTATGATTTGGCCAAAGATTCATGGGATTTTGCGGTTTCTAGGAAGCTTTATGAGGATCATGTGTTAAAGGCTGTGTATCAGACATCCAACCAAAATTTGCAACTAGATTGGTCGACGAGATCAAAGATGATTGGATCTTACAAGGTATCTCATAATGGTCCTTATTTTACTTGCTTGCTTGCCTTGCTTAATAGAAGGGAGGTCATCTATTTACTTCAAAATTCTTAATTGGACTACTCACAACTTCGGTTGAGGTCTGTTCAAAGCCACCCCATTATGAGCACTAGAGGTGTAAAACGGATGCAATATGGAACAGAGATGCTAATTAACATATGCATCTGATCAACACATTCAACATAAAGCGGATTTGGATTTATTTGAATATGGAACTTTAGGACTATTTCCTATGAAAATTTACAAAAATCTATACTAACACACAGTTGTAGAACATTTGTGGAAATTACAAATTAAACCTAGCTATTATGATATTTTTTGGTGTAAAAGGATTTTTACATACCCAAACACCCCACCTGTCAAAAGCTTATTATATGATTTATAACTATATTCTTTTTTGTGTATTTTTTTGTTTGCAATTTTAGAACTCTAAAAAGGTCTAAACTTTAGGATATTAACTTCATGTTATTATAACAACTGTTTAGATGATTATTGCTCCTAAATATTGCTAAAATGTAAACATATATATAATCGGAGTGTATATGAAATGGAAGGAATGGTCAATTACGATATTCTTATATATTTACAATTTGATGATACGTTCCTTATGGGGGGTTGTATTGGTACTCCTTGTCCCACATCGCACCTTGGCAGAGGAGATG